AAGGGATAGACCGATATAACGATCCACCGCATCGCGGGGCGGAGAAGAGGTCCGAGGGTCGTGTATGTGTTGTATTTCGAACGGATACTGGCTGTGCCAATGAATGCTTGTCAGCTTTTATCAACGTGCAAACAGAGTTGCAGATACCGAGATACCAAACGGCCGCACGGGGGCCGGCAGAAGCAGGTTTTTTTTTTGCGGCAACGATCTTCAGGCACACGGCAGCAGATGAAAAGGAAGCCGGGAGAAGGGACACAAGACGCGGGAAAACACTCCGACTGGCTGGGCTACGGCACACGCGAGATTGGCTCAGGATGGTGAGCCGGTGAGATGAGGTGAGAATCTGGCTCTGCTGGTCTCGGTCTCTGATTTAGGTGTCCCTTCGTTGGTTTGAGTCGCAGTTCGTGTTGCGTTGCAATTCACTTTATCCATCGGAGGATTTCTCGTTTGAAAATATGCAGCCTCCGATGGTGATTTCGATTGGTCCCGCTTCATGATCCGGGGTGTTGCGATTGCGCGGCGCAACCACCCGCGATGCCACCTTGTTCATGATGAGTGATCCGGCCAAGAGCGACAGAGCAAGTATCGCATAAGGTAGCAACGACAATATGCAGCAATTTGGGAGCACTATCAGTGGGGTTCTTGTTCGCTTGTGGGTTTGACTAGCTGAGAGAGACTCTTCGCATCGTTGCGCTTGTCTCGTTGCTGGCTAGTCCGGGCTGAGGAAGAGTGGCCCTCCGTCAGATGCTGTTGCTGGGGTGGCCCGCTGACGAGAGCCTGAGCTTCCCATTGAGCGTGTAGACGAGGACAGGAGAGATGGCTCCGCGGAGGATGTTGCCCATTAATAGAAGTCATGACCGGCAAGTGAGGGCGTTGGAGGCAGGGAGACGATACCCGGTGCGCGCGGCCACGGGCTTTGTTCTGGACCGGCGGTACCTGACGCTACCACGAAGCCGGTGGTATTAGGGCGAACGAACGATTGAAACGCAGATGGAAGCAGGTACCAGGCGCTCACCGGGCGGCACTCGTCTTCGTCCGAACATGTTTCCAAGCTGGTCTCGATGACTCGAGAAGGCCGACGGAGAGGAGGGGCGGCGGATGGGGGATTTGCGCGGAAGGGATCAGTGCACGCGGTCGCTGCACCCGTGCGCTGCATGGCGCCAGGCCAGCATGTTGGGTTGTTTGGTGCTAGGGTCGAATCCGCGCCTGTCTGGGCTGCGCTTTGGAGTATTCTTGGAGGGCCCGAATGCACGAAAAGGGATCGTCATGTTGCTTGGCCGCGAACCGAAGAGGGACGATTTGATGAACGGCAGCGTAGGGCGAGATGGTGTGCTGGGATAGCAAGCACCACCGTTGGTCGCTCCGGCCGAGGAGAGGAAGAACGAACGGCTAGCCTTCGTTGGGGATGCACCCACTCACGGCTTTTGCTAGTCGTGCTCGTGCTGCTGCTACTACTTGATGGCAGGGCGAGAAAGGGGCGGAGGCCGAATGGTGTTTATTGCTGATAGAGGAGCTGAGGTGGAAGGGGCGAGGTGCAGTCGTCAGGATAGATAAAAGAGGAATGGATAGTCGTTGGCAGCGGTAGGTAGTGTCGGATGGTTGGATGTGATCCATGGATGAGGGGTGTCGCCGTGTTGTGGGGTGGCATGGCATAGCATGGCAGTGTGAGTGACGGGGCGGTGGAATGGAGATGAACCGGGAGGGCGGATTCGCATTCTGGTTCGGTTCAGACGAGGAGAGGAGAAGAGGTGTAGAGGTGGGCGGAATGCGATATGGCATTGAAACAGACAGCTGGAACAAAGGGACTGCCGCTCATGTTCCTGTCCATCATCCGGTTGACAATGGGATGAAGGTGTCGGGCGCGTGTCCCGCGGATGTCGACGAGACACGAGGCACTGTGGAATCTGGGGTTAGTTCGTCCCATTGACCGCTGAAGGGGCTAAGGTTTAATTCAGTCGCCGACGACACATGGCCCTCCGGACAGTTGGGTTTGGCTTGCACTTGCACTTGCACTTGCACTTGCACTTGCACTTGCAGACCGGTGAGATGCACTCCGGCCAGGCACCTAGGAAAAGCAAGCAAAAGCAGCCGGACTGGAGGTCGCACCTGACGCTCCTCGCCGTCATAGTCCGTGCTGGGTATTTTGTATCTTTCGAAGGGATGGAATACCGTAACTGCGTCCAGTGCTTTGCTCGAGCTTGGGCCTGGCCGGTCAACGAGGGCCGGTCAGGTGCCTCGATATCTTAATTATTACCTACCTGCTACCTATGTCGAGATGCGTCTGCACATGCATGCGTGATGCTACCAAGTACATACCACGCCTGCGCCAGTATGACGGGGAGTCCGCAAGGGACGCAACACCATGGGCGTTGGAATGCTGAGGGAGACCCTCGATCCATACAGGCGGGAAGGAGGGATAGGCGTGCCATGTTGCCTCACAGTTACATTGAATTCAACACTGATGACTGCTTACCTCACCTCCTCACCTAAAAACGAAAGGTCCCATCTAACAACAAGCGTGACATGGCGGTGATGGCTGAAGTGCCGTTTCCAAGGCAAACACCCTTAATTGCAAGAGCCAAAGTATCGAGTACCGTTCGTCCCCCCCTCGGGACCTGGAGCCTTACTGTTTAGGGCGAGGTGCGGTGCGTGCTAAGACATGGCCCAAAACACCTCCAAGGCAATGGAAGGCGGGAGACTGGACGGGATGCACCTTCTGCCGTCCTCTCTTTTCCTGTCCTTGGCGTTCATGTCTCTCGATGCACTGCACTGCACTGCACTGCACCACCACCCTTACCTGCTTGCTTACCTTACCGTGCTTACCGCTCTTACCGTCTCTACCGCCCGTACCTTACCTAACTTGCCGTACCTTACCTTAGGGACTCTGGTTCTGGGAATCCAACCACTCACCTCACTCTCTCATCTTTCCCATCTCCCGCCGGCCTCCATTCTGTCTCCTTTCCCTCCCGTGCCCGTCTACTCGAGACGTCCCGACGATACTCTGCTTATCCCCTCCAGTTCGCCGCGCCCGGTTTCGGTATTCGAGTCCAGCATCCCGTCAACGTTGGGGAAAAGTAGACGACGTTTTGCCCCTCGCCAGGGTGCATACGACTTATCGCCCCCTCAGCTATCGATCGTATCTATTGTGTATGGGGGATTGTCTCACCAGCCTCCGCTCTGCTGGCTCGATATAGCTTCGTTCCATCTGCATGCACTGCAGCACCGCCGTTGCTCTCCTATTGGCAGTGCCATCGGTCCACCACCAGCATCATAGGGGGCGTGTTTCTCGGGATTTGATGGATCCTGTAAGTCCAAATTCCCCCCTCCTCACCTTCCCCTCCCTTCAGACCCTTCCATCTTCTTGCAACCATCTCGAAGCCTGTCGTCCGTCTGCCTGTCTCCAACTTCCCCGAGGTACCGAATACCACCTCGCTCTCCCTTGGTCAATTGGCAGCGCAGCCCCCAAACTCCCAACTCCATCCCAAGATTGCGGCAGACATACCCGTTCGTCGAGCGAGCACCTCAAGTTTCAACTCCCGAACCCTCTCTTCTCCCTCCCCTTGTCCACACCCACGCCGACAAACCTCACTCGAGCCCCCTTCATCCATGCGCGTCGCTTGCTTTTCCTATGCTTCTTTCCAAGGCCTTCGTCCACTGACATTGGATATCTCGCTTGCCAACTAGCCTGGTCCCCAGTCTTCGCCATCTTCCCTGCCCTGATCCTCCGTGGTCCCACAGGCCTTGCCCGATTGCCTGTCCTACCCTGGTGCTTGAGACAGCCTTAATATGCATGTCGCGGCAGCACACTGGCCGAACATCCTGCGCAGTTAGCAGTAGCTAAGGTAGCTACGCTGTACTCAAACGACAAGCAGCGACATCCTTGGTGCTCGATTCCACTGCGCCGAACATCTAATCAGCAATAATATTTAGGTCCCCGGGTCCATCTCCGTTCTGGGTCCTCAGAATTTGCGACGAAGGAAAAAGAAGTGGGAAACCGAAAAAGCAATTAATACCACTTCAACCCACCCGAAGCCTTCATTCGATTAACTAACGACCTTTTCCCCCTCGTCTGCCTACGGTCGGCCCTTCACCTGACGGATACTCCATACCGCTGCTGGCTGCGTGCTGTGCTCTCGACTCCGCAACACTGCGCCGCCTTCGTTTTTGTCGTCGTCGTCGTCCACGTCTCCGCCGCCCTGTCGAGGCCATCTCCCACTCTCCGCATTGCAGCTCTCTGTTTTTTTTTTTTTTTTTTTATTACCGTTCGCTGCCACCGCCGCCCTCCCGCAGAAGGACCCTTCTCGGCACGACCCCGAATCCCTTCCACCGCCTGTGCGACTTTGACTTTGGCGGCATCGCCGAACACCGTACGAAGCCAAACTGTCCAGTCTTCTCGAATCTTGGACGGCCGCTGTTCGCTGCAACCCTGCATCATCCCACCTTAGAAGCTGTGGATCAACCACCAAGAATTCCCCGCTCTCAACCTCCCATCCCGCTGCTGATCCATTCTTCTCCCGCTCGTTCGCTCGCTCGCTCTTTGCCTTGCCCTGGCCTGGCTTAACGGTTGCCACCACACCGCGTCGCACTTTGAAGTTCCCCCCGAAATTATCGGAGGTCTCTTGCTGCGCACCACCATCTCACTTTCGTAGCTGAGAGTCTGTGTCCCAGCGACAACCAACGTCACCTCCGATACGCTGCGTTTGCGACGAGACTCCGCGCCGTGAGACCCGTTCACGAGGTTCTGGGCGACCGGCCAGCAACTATTATGCTTACTGCTGTGTGGCGGCATACACATCAGCCCCGAAAGCAGACCCGAATCGGCCAGCAGCTGATTGCTCGAGGACATAAGAAGCGTGCAGGATAGGGATTCCGGGAAACAAGACGTCGTGGGACGTCCAGGTGCAGTTCTTGGGAGAGACAGCAGCATATCGAGACGCACAAACAGTTACTGAACGTCAGATGCGGGCAGTCCCCAAATGAGGACGAATCATGGAATGAGCATGGCACCACCGGGAATGGATGGACGAACCTACCACAACGGTGGTCACAACGTTACGCCGCGTCTCGAGTGGCCCCAAACCCAAAGTCAGACTTTGGCTGCCGACTCGTCCTCCCGCGGCATGGAACGCGCTTCGATCAACAACCTGCGCACATCCTTCCGCTCCAACCTGCCGCCGAACCCGACTATTCGCGCCGTGACACCGGAGTACCACCACCCCGAGGTCTCTCCGGCAGTGTCCGCCAGCTCCGTCTTCGATCCGGCTGCCAGCTTACACTCAGCCCGCAGTGGCTTCACCTCGACCTCCCCTCAAACCTCTCCGAGATCCATACCCGGAGACTTCCAAAGACGGCAAGGTGTGGTATTCAATGACCAGTACGGCGGAGACTCGTACCAGAATTCAAGTAGCCCCCCTTTAAGGCAGCCCAACACCTTTCGGCCGAGAACACACACCATGGACGGGGCATTGAGACAGCAGTTCCTGAATGCGACGGCCAGGGAGGGCCCAGGTCGACCACGCTTAGGGTCGTTCTCTTCCTCCGGGTCACAACCGCTCTATGACGATGCCCGTTCCCCGCCGCCGCCCATTGAATCCTTGGGTTTTCCTTCAGTGATACCCGCTCGCCATTCCGAGATACCCGCAGGCGCCACAAACAGCTTGAGAGAAAAGAAATCGTCAAGCAAGCGACTGATCAAGCGGCAATCCTCACGTCCTACTTCGCCTCCTGCCACGACACCTTCAGTGGACTCACTACCTGTCCCTGTGCCGACTGAAAACGCGAACAACATTTTACTGTTGATGAAGAACCTTTGTGGTCGAATGAGAGGCGATATCGAGTTCAGAACCGAAACATCAGGCCATTGGCAAATCGGAGTCGCCTACGTTGATGAGGAGAAGGGATCCCTGATGTTTGACTCAGGTAACGATGGGCCATTCCACGTCCCCCTGGTGTCAGATCTGCGAGGGTGTCGCATCTCCCCCACCGAGCTGCCTGAAGGCAAGAAGTGCTTGGAGATTTCGTCTAACACACAGCCACCTGTGGACCTACTAATACACCCACTCCTCGCGGAGGAGCGAGATCTGTGGCTGGCTGCGTTGTTATGCTGGCAGCAAATGCGGCCACCTAAAGTCAAGCTCTCCAATGCGAACCGAAACCCAACCCCTACCCAATTAAGACCAGCAGTTAGGAGGCGCGGCTCTGAGAACGGAACACCAAAAACGACCAATGCACTCATCAAAGTTGGCCAGGTCCGGCTATGGGATAAGGGACTGGCTAGCTCTCCAAGGGCTATTGTCAAAAGACCCTCTACCAGGGACTTGAGATCGCCGTGTACTTCATGGCGGGTCGTTTCCTGCCTACTCCAGGAGAATGGCGAGATCAGGCTTACCACGAACGATGGTGATGCTGTTATTGCTGTGGTAGAGCTCTCTCAGCTGTCGAGATGCGCCATTCAACAGCTGGACAGATCTGTTCTCGACGAAGAATACTGCATCGGCATCTTCCCCCATTACTCCACAATATCCACCCAACTCTCCATTTTCCGACCCGTCTATATCGCATTGGAGAATCGTTTGCTTTTCGAGGTCTGGTTCGTCCTCCTGCGCGCCTTTGCACTGCCTGACATCTTTCTGTTGGAGCCATCTGCAGAAGGCGCTGTCGAGGTTACCGATTTGGATTCTGATCTTACGGGAGAGGTTTTCAGAATCGAAAAGACGATTAGTCTGAGGGTTACAGAGGCCAAGCTGAAGCCAAGAATTATGTCACCAGATGTTGGCAGCTTCGTCGACCGGCAATCTAGGGATGCTGATCCGCTGATTGGTAACTATCTCACAGAGGTCATCCTTGATGGCGAGGTTCGAGCTCGGTCAACAATCAAGACAGGCACAAAGAACCCTTTCTGGAGAGAAGACTACCAGTTCTCAGATCTCCCCCCGATGATGCCGTTTCTCTCTATTGTCTTGAAGAGAGTCGATGGGAACCTTGATAGCTGGAGCCATCAGCTGCAAGCATCACTTGGATTGCCGAAGACGGGCAATCTGACGGAGGTTCTATGCGGTTCGGTTGACATCCCTCTCGACCAAGTGGAGCCTGGCAAGGATCTCGAAAGGTGGCTCGACATATACGATGAGCGACAGCAAGTCGTTGGTACGATGCTCGTCAAACTTCAGCATGAAGAGCTCGTGGTACTTCACTCCAAAGAGTACCAGGCGTTATCAACTCTTCTCCACAGCTTTCCGTCTGGTCTGACTGCCCAGATTGCTGATGCCCTTCCCGGAAATCTCAGACGCCTCTCGGAAATCTTCCTCAACATCTTCCAGGTGTCCAATCATGCGAATGAGTGGCTTCAGACGCTGGTAGAGGATGAAATCGATGGTATCGGAGGCACACAAAACCAAATGAAAAAGTACCGATACAGCAGCAGGCTCAAGTCCAGCGAGGCGTTGGAATTCCACAACGGTAGAGAACAGGTTTTGCGTGACATGGGCAAGTCGTTAGCAGGGGAGGCCAACCTACTCTTCAGAGGCAACACCTTGCTGACACAAGCTCTCGAGTTCCACATGAGGAGATCAGGCAAGGAGTATCTTGAGCAGATGCTGATGGCCAAGATCTATGAGATCAACGAGATGAACCCCGACTGTGAGGTTGACCCCAGCAAATTGAAGCCAGGGGAGAACGTCCAAGAGCATTGGAATCGCCTCATTCAGATCACGACAGAGGTCTGGCAATGCATCTGCCGGGAGCCGACTAAGTGTCCTCCAGAGTTGCGGTCAATCCTCAAGTACATTCGTGCTGTTGCCGAAGATCGCTACGGTGATTGGCTGCGAACCGTCACTTACACCAGCGTCTCGGGCTTTCTCTTTCTTCGCTTCATCTGCCCTGCGATCTTGAGCCCGAAGCTCTTCGGCCTGCTACGGGACCATCCCCGGCCGCGAGCACAGCGAACGCTGACACTCGTCGCGAAAGCGCTCCAAGCGCTGGGAAATCTCTCAACGTTTGGCAAGAAGGAGGAATGGATGGAGCCGATGAACAAGTTTCTGGGTTCAAACCGCCAATCGGTCAAAGACTACATCGACACCATCTGCTCTATTCCTGTCGAACGCAACAAGGTCGCTCTGGGGCCATCCTACTCGACTCCGATCACCATTCTCGGCAGACTGTCTCCGACGGCTCGGGAGGGTTTCCCAGCATTGCCTCACCTGATCGACCACGCCCGAAACTTTGCTGCCTTGGTAAAGATGTGGACTGACGCAAACCCTATTGGCAATGGCGAGGTGTCTAAACCTGCTGGCGGTGAAGACGACATTCTCATCTTCAACGAGATGTGCATGAGCTTGCAAGAGCGTGCAGACATCTGCTACGCGAAGATGGATGGGTCGCTACACGATACCGCATCACTTGCTGCATCCGCATCCGAGTTCGCCGATCAGCTAGAACACAGTCAAGCTATGCTGGAATCTATGACGTTCGCGACCTACCACAACAACAATTCCGCAACAAACTCTACTACAGCTTCAACGGTCTGGATGGAGCAAGACAATCTCGTACCTCCTGGATCAGCCGGCAGCGATGCGTACATGGAGACATCTTCGTCCCGAAGCCGTGAGCAACGCCGTGGCCGGGACAGGAGCTCAATGAGACAGAACTCTGGGCATTCGGACCACTCGACAGGACACCTCGCGACGCTCAAGCGTAACGGCCGAGCCACACGCCATATTTTGTCTGGCATCATGAAGCCATTTGCTCGAGGAGAGTCGCCTGACTCGTCGCCATCAGTATCGCGAAGCAAGAACTTTGAGCGTAACTGGAATACTGGCTACTGATCAACGTCAGTGGACGCATCACAAACCAACACCACTTGAGGGCCACCGGCCGTCTCTTGTTTTTCTTTGTTGCCTACTTTCTTCGCATACGAACATGAACACAAAAGCCCACAGGACTTTGACGACACAAAAATCTTCTGTTTTTAGTTTTTCTCACGACGAGGAGGATATCTGGATACGCGCATTTTGAGCGTATAAGATGGCGATCATGGCTGCTGCATTACTACTCTGGGAGGGAGGCAAGCCGGGCTCTCATGGGTTTTCGTGAAACCATCCCGGCGTTTCTTTGACCCGACAGGGCAGCTTTGCTCGCTCGGGAAGGAGGGAAGACAAAAATGGCTTCCCATGCATTGGTTGGAGGCTCGGCCCTGTTGTTTTTGATGTTGATTGTTTCCTTTACCCTTCTTGCTTGCTAGGTTCCTTGGTGTAAGGTAGCCTTCGCATCATGGGACACGATGAATATACCCAGACACATCATGATTAGAAGATACCTTTTTGCCTCGTCCGCACGAACCAGACGCGCGCACAAGACACTTGATGCGCAGTACAAGAACATGTGCGTGTAATGTAAATAATATTGAACATTGTGTCGAGGTATCTACCTGAATCCTATGGTTTTTCTTTTCGTCTTCGCCATGTCCGTCGTCTCTTTACGCCCCAAATTCAAATGAATTAACCCGGATTTTAATCGCCCCAAAGACCCAAAATTCGTCACGTCTTCATCGTCTCTTTTTCTAGGTCGTACCACGCGCGGCTCCTAGTTGCTCGCTCTAGTCGATCCAACCCTCAATCCCCGCTACTGTGGTCGGTTTTCCAGCCTCATCGCTGTAGAGCTCCTCCGATGCCTCGACAGTCACATCAGCGAACTGGATGCAGTTGCACGTCATTTCAGAGCGTAAGCATACTCTATTGGAAGAACTTCTTGTACGCAGCCTTTTCTTTGGCCGCGCGGGCGGAAGCTTTCTGCTTGACGGCGTTGAGCTCATTGAGGATGACTTTGTCCTCGGGAACAAGCTTGTGAGCCTCCTCCAGGTCCTTGATGGCGCTCTCGTCATCCTTGAGGCGAACGCTGGCGAAGCCGCGACGGTAGAGAGCCTTGGCGCGGTCGGCGTCCTTAATGCCGGCAATGTCGAGGGCGTAGCCGGCGGTCTTGGCGGCATCCTCCCAGTTCTCGAGCTTAATGTTGAGCAGGGCCGAGTTGTTGTTGAGGGAGAAGCGGAGGGCCTTGAGCTCGGCCTGCACCTCGGCGGGCTCGTTGTCGAGGTCAGGCTCCTCGTTGAGGTAGCGCAGGCCCTTTTGGTACTTGTCAAGACCGGTCTGGAAGTCGCCGGCCTTGAAGGCCTTGTTTCCAAAGTCCTTGCAGGCCGTGGCGATCTTGAGCGTCTCCTTTGCGTCGGGAGGGGAGGCGCAATCCTCGGGGTAGTCCTCGTAGGTATCGCCCATGGCATCGGGGGCCTTGACATCGGCAGCCAATGCAGCGTCTCCGGTGAGCTCACCGCAGTCGGCGATGACGGCATCCTTGACGGGCTTGTCACCAGTCTCGGTCTGGAGGTTCTCGATCTGGCGAACGACAGACTTGCCGTTGAGAACTTCGCCAAAGACAACGTGCTTGTTGTCGAGGTGGGGAGTCGGGACGGTGGTAATGAAGAACTGAGAGCCGTTTGTGTCTGTGTTGTAGGTGGTTAGTTTTTGGGACCGACGGCAGGGCTGAATAAGTACGGAGCAACTTACTAGGTCCAGCGTTTGCCATCGAAAGAAGGAAAGGGCGCTCATGCTTCAAGGGGAAGGCCTCGTCCTCGAACTTCTCGCCGTAGATGGATTCGCCGCCAGTTCCGTTGCCGGCGGTGAAGTCACCGCCCTGGATCATGAACTGCTTGATAACACGGTGGAAGCCAGATCCCTTGTAGTGGAGGGGCTTTCCGGTCTTGCCCAAGCCCTTCTCTCCTGTGCACAGAGCGCGGAAGTTCTCGGCAGTTTTGGGGACAAGGTCGTTGTAGAGCTCCATGGTAATGCGACCGGCGGACTTGCCACCAATGGTCACGTCGAAGAAGACGCGGGAGCGCGCCTGCTTGGTCTCGTCGGCAGACATGGTTGCGGTTTGTGTGGTGTTGGTGAGGTGGGAAGGATGAACTGGTGTTGTCTCGATCTACCTAAGATCAGGCTGAGACGTTGCGCTCTGTGCGAGTGGTGCGGGGAGAGAGCTTGTCACAGTCTCTGGGTATCTAGCTGGAGGTTGCTGTTTGGTCTGAGCTGTGGATAGCTTCAACCAAGTGAAAGTCAGACGCAATTGTGAATGGTGATCAGAAATAAGTCAAAGGAGCAGGATTGCAAGTGACGATGCGGCGTTGGTAGTAGTCACGGTTAAGAATACCTCTCCATGTGAGCTCACAGCTAAGTGGGGTTGCGATGGAACTTTCTAGCTCCAGGAAGACCTGGCGCGGGGCAGCTGCGTTGCACCGCAATCCTGCGCGGCAGTGGGGGAAACGACGCCCGAGCCAACCCCCTTGCCTAAAGGAAGGGCGGTTTGGCGCTTGCCAGTCAGCAGCTTGTCGTTTGTGAGGAAGGCAGCGTCGGTGACGATCTACCAATCAGCTCCTGCAGTTTTCAATCATGGAGATGTCGGTTTCGCATGCCTGGGAAATGGCATTGTGGCCTCTCTATGTGTCCAACCCTGTAATCAAGGGTATGTTTATCTAGTTGAAGTCTAACAGCTCAAGTAGTAGTCTATCTATTGTTTGCCCCGTATCTATGAGCAAGAGCCCCAAGCCTCGGGTATACTTACAATCCAAAGGGACCATGAAACCGAATGCAGTGCCAGACGCAGGTACTCACTGCTTCGGCGGCGCAGGGTCTGTGTTGAGCTCCAGGGTTACGGGGCCATCGTTGACGAGAGCGACCTCCATCATTGCCTGAAATCTCCCATCTTTGACCTTGTCTGCGGCGTAACCAGCCTGGACCTTCTGCAAGAAGTGGTGATACAGCCGCTTGGCGTCCTCGGCGCCTGCCGACAGGCGGAAGTCAGGCTTGTTCTTACTAATCTTAGCGAATAGTGTGAATTGAGACACTGCAAAGGTTAGGAAAGCCGGCGCGCTGATTCATCATCATGACAGACGTACCGCAGAGAACTTCCCCGGAAATGTCCTGGACGTTCTTCTTCCATCTGCCGCCGGCGTCGTCATCCCACATCTTGAGCTTCAGCACCTTGGTTGCAAGAGCTTCTGCTTCCTTCTCCGTGTCACCGGGGGCAACGGCAGCGAGCACCAAAACGCCTTTGCCAATGGAGGAGATGACCTCCTTGTCCACTGTCACCGAGGCGGACAGCACACGCTGGACGATGGCTGGAAGCAAAAAGAGTCAACATACTAGGACTTACAGCGGATAACGGAAGGATCCTTGCCTTTCATCTTGCAGCACTGCGTAAATGCAATTTGGCAGAAACAGGGAATAGGTTTCAGAGCTGAGAACGGCAGAGGATTCAAACGCGCGGATCCGTCTCTTCAGACACTGATTGATTGACCGGAACGTGGAACCGCCTCAGCCGTCGACCGGATGAGGTCAAAAAGTGCCAAACACAAGGAGGAAAACCCAGGGGCTAAGATGGTAGTAGCATGCAGCCAGCCAATGCCGTCTGAAGGTTGAGAAGCCACCGATCAACCAAGCGTACAGATTGCAGTACGTAGAAAGCAACTCAGGCACCTAAGCAATTGAGGGGAGAGACAGGCTAGCGACCAAGGCGTCCTGGGGTTTGTGGCCTTGGCTTACGCCCGGCAATTAGAGGGGGAGGGGGTTAGGTTCTCAAGGAAACCACAGGGCACAGCTACGATCTGTTTGCTTCGGGTTGCAAATCAATGCTTGCTGGGAATAGAAATGAGAGCGGCCAGAGATAGAAGCAGCCCGCAATCAAAAATCCAGACACTGGACGGCTGGAAATTGAAGCTATTGGGTGCTAGACACCTGGATAGATAGGCTGACAGGGAGTTAAATAGGGTGCGTGCAGGTTGGTGGCAGGACTTCACATCCCTGAACGCGACTGGAGTGGCAGGCTGGGCTGAAAGGGGCCGTGTCATCATTCGCCCTACACAGTGCAGACCTGGACAGTCGGGACTTCCTTCAGATAGACCTAGAATAACTTAGATGTTACACGTTGGGTGCTCAATCACTTTAGAGCCACCTAAAAGTCGCGGCTTGGGTCATTAGAAGGGCCTGAAATACTAAGACCACCCGACAAAAATAAAAATTCTCCACTTCACCAGTAGATGGTGCTTGTTTACCTCTCACCTCAGACTGCCCCTCTACCACACACAAGGTACCTCCAGACGTCCCACCTTGGCGCACGGCTTTCACCCACGCCTCCAGCTGGCGGTTCTTTCTTCCGCAGCCTCAAATCATCAAACGGCCGCATCTGTTTGTTGCAAGCAAATTTGGATCGCGCAATCACCGATCGCCGGTATTTTTCGGCGCAGTAGTCGTCATCCGAGGGACACAAAACCTCATCATCACCCACTCTCCGCCCATCGGCACATCGATAGCGCATCAGACGAGCCTGAGCTCCGATCCGAAGCCGTCATCATCACCATCAATCACCACAACCATACCTGACACACCCAATCAGTCGATACCGAAACTCCAAGCCGGACGAACGATCTCCATCCCTGATACACACACAATCAGGCACCATGGCGGCACGAAAACTGCAACAAGAAGTCGACAAGTGCTTCAAGAAGGTGGCCGAAGGCGTCGCCGAGTTCGAGGCCATCTACGAGAAAATCGAGCAATCGAATAACATTTCTCAGAAGGAGAAGCTGGAGGACAACCTCAAGCGTGAAATCAAGAAGCTCCAGCGTCTACGAGATCAGATCAAGACATGGGCCGCAAGCAACGACATCAAGGACAAGGCTCCTTTACTGGAACACCGTCGCTTGATCGAGACGGTCGGTGGCCCATGATCCCGCGGTAGCCTTCCGTGGCTCTGCTAACTCTCTCGCAGCAAATGGAGAAGT